ATATTACTTAAAGTGACACAGAAGCAGCATAGGATGCTAAAAGGTACTTTAGCAGTTCTTCATCACCATGACACAGCATCCTTCTAGCCAAAACTAACATCGCCTTCGTCGTATTCCTTATCTCTGGGCTGTGTCAGAAACAGGGTACGACTCTCCCCAGCAAGCGATGCACCTACAGCCAGATTCTACAGGTAACCGGACTCGCTTTTACAGGTTAGTGTGAAAGTGAGAAGCCATAATAAACTGGGGCCCTGCTCTCATCACCCGTTCGAATCGCTTGGCCGGCTGCCAGCTCGCACGGCAGCAGTCCGTGTCCCAAACACGCTGCTGTCGGCATGCGTTGCTGTGGATACAGGTCACACTAAGCAAACAGGTTATTGGTGGCATCTAAGATACAGAGCAGGAACTACTCATGCCTTTAGAATCGCTTCAAGGACAGATGAGTCCTGAATTTGGAGAAGTCATTTCCCTCTGGCTGCTCTTTAACAACGTGTTTTCACTCACAGAACCGACTGGACGTTTTTCCTTATTGCACCCCCTCCATAAACACTGCAGTGTGTGAAAATCCCAGGAGGGTGGCCGTCTCCGAGATGCTGGAACCGCCACGCTTGGAGCCAACAACCGCCGCACGTCCAAAGTTGCGTGACGCATCCTAGCCATGCTAATGCTTAGCCGCACGGTAAGCAAGCCTATCTGCGCGCTGCTAGAATTCAAATGCAGAGGCATGATTCACCGTCTGGAGCAGCAGGCTACGTGGCTTCAGTAAGCAGGTGTACCTGACAGACTGACCAGTGAGTCTACATCTGGCAATTTAATTTCGTGAGGCAAATGGTCGGATAACCTAAGCATTCAGTATCACACAAATGAAATTAAAGAATGTAATTCTGTGTCAAAAATACAGGAGTTTAAATGTGTCTGCAATGGTTTGTCACCAGGTTTTGGTGCAATCCAATCAACAGAATCAATCTGCCATGCCACAAACATTCTGAGACATAGGCTTTACAGCTGTTCTATTAGCCCAAGTATGGACAAGCTGGTGCGGGGGAGACCAGCTGCACAGACAGAGGACAGCTGGTTCAGGTGCCAGCTGACTCAGGTGAATTTTCAGGAGAGTATCCTGCCTGTAGAAACCCCTGATCACCCCCCCCCCTTATGGAGAAAGCAGAGCAGAGGAGATGACAAACACATGTGTCCAAGCGGGATACATTCCGGCCTGCAGACTTCATGAAGACACACCCTCTATAAACCATGATTCATGTGAAAAGAGCTCACTGCAAAGCATTGGGTTTGTGCTGCCTACTCATTGGTAGTAGCAGACAACATGTACACAAGCTGCTTATCTAACCAATGTGACTTAGTTCCTAATCATATTTCCAGCTGAAAGTTTCACCAGAACAATTCAGTACCTCGATTAAGGTACTAAAGTCAGGTCTCTTGAAACAGAAACCTTTAGACTAGAGGTGCATGACCTCAGCCACTTAACTATCCATTTTCTTAGACACAGGTAATGTTCTTCGTCATGTAGTTATGCGTCTTGCAGCTCACAATATGCATCAACAAGTAGTTCATGGTGACTGCCCTTCAACCAAGGCCCAGATGATCCACACGTAGACTAGAGATTTTCAGAACTGGCCATTTTTTGGATTTCAAATCATCTACTCATAGCAACACTGGAAAATGTCACTCACAGAGCTGAAGGCACCTCTTTCCCTCCCCATCAAAGGACTGAAGGCCCAGACCAGCTCATAAAGCAAGGTGCCAACTATGCAACAGCTTGTGATGATTATAGTGGGAAAGCAGTCAAATCCCCCCCCCCCAAAGGGAACAGAACAATGCCCACTCTTAACGTTAATGCTCCCGCCGGGTCCGCCTTAGTGTAACCTCTGCATGTCTAAGGTATTCAAAGGAATACATTTAGTAATTCAACTTTCTAACACAGGAAGTAAAAAAAAAAGAGGAAAATATAGACAACATACAGAAACAGGATTATAAAAATCTAAAAAAGTCAAAATGGAAAATAAGCTTAGCTGAAAGGCAAATGAAAAAAACAGGGTTTGCGGTTCTGTGTCCTTGCCAAACATCTGATCTGCAACAGGTTTCTAAATGTTGTGTAAGAGCAATTTTATTTTAAAACATGTAACAGTAATAATTTCTGCTTTGTTTGTTACACTTTTATCCACATTTATTTAGAATTTGTAATTGTTTCCACCTTGCATCCATCCTCCAACTTTGTATCTGGTACAAGGCTGCAGACTATATCTACCAACTGAAACAGTGTTGAATTCACAAGTTTAACAATTGATTGTTTAATATATTCCTATAAAGGAGAGAAATGGTCAGTGACGAATCAGCACAGATCAATGGAAGGCCTTCCACCGACATCAGAGGTAATCTCTGCTTCTCATCAAAATCAATCCACCGCACTTTTGTGTTAAAGTGAACCGTGCCTTTGGAAGCAATTCTCATCGGCGTGCCGCATGGCAAATCTCTCATCTGACACAAAGAGGTTAGAGTGTCCCCATGTCCACTGTAGTGCAGACCGCCACATGGCAGTGGGCTTAAGAGAGCATGCTCTCTCTCTCTCACGTACACATAATATAGCAATGGGGTGAGTCAGAGTGAGTCTGACTCTGACTCTCTAATACAGCCCTCTGACTCTCTAATACAGAAATCCATTAACCTCTGGTTTTTCTATATAAAGTCCGTTTGCATGCTATATTAGGTACCCAAACTCACCTGTCTTTTTCGCTCTACCTCCCATTCAGTCGATGAAAGGGCAGGGCCGGCCGATATTCATGCTGCCAGTTCAAAGCCCTATTTCTGACCGACTTGCCGCATGGAAACACCCCTCACCGCGACCCCAGTCTTAGCAGCACACCAGGCCAGATGAACGTCTCCCAGCTCAATGCACTTGGGATGTCACGCAATTTGGTAACAGAAAAGATTATACCCTTGCTTGAGCGTTAATAGAAAAGCATCATCACCTGGGGTCCAAGATTCACATAGATGGTGACTCTAGTCTAAGGTGCACATTTCAGATTTCACTGCCACATCCCTAACCATAGATGTCTATACACCTGTGGCTGAGACCATGACTGTACAAGTTTTCTGGAATGTTTTAGGGGCAATGATGACCTAAAGGTTAGGAAAGCGTGCTTGTGAAGTTGTGATTGAAAGGTTGCTGGTTCGAGAACCAGCAAGGTACCGCCCCCACGCACTGCTCCCCAGGTGCTTAATAATAGCTGTCCCCTAACCTAATGTCACAATGTCACATACGAGTTAAATGCAGAGGACAGACTTCATTGCTGTGGTGTGTCAATGACAATCTTCACAATTAATCACTTTCACTTTGAATTCACAGCTAAATTGAAAGTGAAGGCATTTAATTTCCATATAGAAATTAAACAGTGATCTACCATGCTACACTTTATTTACATATCATGCAATGTAAGATTACTGAATATTAAGCAAATATTAGTGCAACAACTTGACTGTTCACCAATCCTCATACAAGTCCCATATTTGAGAAAGTTTGAGCCTATAGTTAGCTGCATATTGTTAATTATACTAAGGTTATGAAGAAAAAACACTAAGACATTTGGCAGACTACCGCCAATTACTTGGTAAACTGACACTTCCTCATTGCCAAAAAAATTCCCGGAACTTTTACCAGTAAATAACCCACAGATAGCTAATGTTTTCCGTCTTAAACGTGTGGCACAGAACAGCCGCTACAGATTAAGCAGTTAAACGCGACAGCCTGCAGATGCCCCGGGAAGTACTGGGGCTCACAAAGGACATCGCAGCACTAAGCAGCAACCTGATGCATTTTCTCACCAAACACTAATGAAACCTAAATGATTCTTCTTTGAAGTCGCATACAGAAATGCGTCAACGCCTGCTGAATTTAAGAATACTTTTTACTCTGGGGGGCGTCTTGCTCATTAACGTTTGGATTGGACTCCTGGAAAGCTGCAGCTCTCATTTATCAGATCCGATTGAGCGAGTAACCCCGTAATCATAATTACACAAGAAATAAGACGGTACCTCAAGGCGTCAGTCAGCGCTGTACATCAGCCCATGTTCACGCGCATAACTGCATATGCAGTTACGGTCCGCAATATTTGTAATTTTCTACATATAGCTCTTAAACACTATAGCTGATCAATATTATTTCAAAAGTAAATGGAAATAGATAGACAGATAGACATATCTATTTTATGGGCGTCACTTGAGCAGTGATTTTCGCCTTACGACTTAAGTACAGATTGTACATCCGAAACGACCATTTGTAACAACCCCCCAGCATGTAATATATACATCGCAACAAAGTTAAAAGTGACCTTAAGCTCTCCGATGCATATGCACATCAGCGAATATTAGAAGGAGCGTCATTTATTAGGCTGATAAAACTTAAGGTGCAGAAAAGTCCGATTCATTTTGGAGAGAAAACAGGCGGGCCGCAGCTAGACGCAACCCGCCCAACACCGATTCCACATCATCGCTAACCAGTTAACTACCCAACAGGTATGGTTAGTACCAGAGGACACAGGTACTGTTACCATTTAAACTCATCAATTAAACCCAACTAATTAGGTTAATGAAGCCGGTCTGAATACAGATTCATTAGTAGTCAGAGTTAAACACAATTCTCAAGTAGATAACTAGTTGGCTGGAAATAAAACCTAACCCAGCTGAAAGGTTTAACACGTTAAGTTAAATTTCCACGAGAGTCGAAAAACTACAGCCAATGTGAAAAAACGAGCGAGCCTGGGGGGCTGCCGGATCACCGGCGAGAAAATGAGGAGGTGTCCGAGCAGGGGACGGTATACGGGGGAGTGACCGGCGAGGGAAGGAGAAGCACCGGCGGGAGGACGAGCGTCGGAGCGCATGGCCCCTGGGAGCTCCGCACGGCAGGCAACGACCGGACCCAGCGCCGGTCATGCGCTTCCCCACCTCAGCGCCCGTCTGAGCAGCCGCCGTTCTCTGCTCCTTATTACCTGGATGTAGTTGCTTTCGCAGTACTCCGCAACCCGCTCCAGGTTGGTGAAGCTGTCCAGTAAAGCCCTCCGACCTGCTGGAATTTCCTCTTCCAAAAGCATCTGCAACTCCGCCATCTTTACATGTTTTTCCTCCCCCCCACTACTCCTCCTCCTAACGCTGGAACTGAGGAGTGCGCGCTCTTCCCCGGGAAGCGCGCTCCCGGCTGGCATACGGGCGCGCTCTTCCACAGGAAGCGCTGGAGCGCGGCACTTCCTCCCGGCTCGAGACTGCGCTGACATCTGGTGTCGAAGGAAAAACCAGCGCGAACGAAGTTGCCACCTCGCGTGGTAGTAATGCAAAAAAGTAATGCCAAACACTAATGCTGATGTAACGTGTCTGCGAGATAATTAACTCATCACTAAAACAACATTTTGCTGATAACGGTGCTGGTAGAATTGAAAAATCAATAGTACTGACTGAAAACATTTAACAGCTTAAATGAAATTAAACAAAAACTGGTCATTTCTACACAGGAAGCACATCGCTGCACTCGCAAAGGTCAAAAGGAGTCTTAATTGCAGCGCTGTTGTCATGACAACCTTTCCATTTCAATCAATAAAATAGAGTCCCCTTCTATTATAAACAGAAGTGCAGAAAACTGGAGGGAAATCTAGTAGCACCCATTTTAAAAAGCCCTAAAATACATGCATCCAATTAGAAACACGTGATTACCAGAGCGATAAGTTTTCTGGATAACATCTATGTACATTTATACATAAATCTATGTGCTTATTTTGCCAAATGTTAAATAAATGGGGGAAAGTGAAGGCGTAGAACTGTTTATTATCAAAAACGCTCAAATACAGTGGCGTACAAGTCAAAGTAGAGTGTTTTAAGAGCCATTCAGTTCATATTGTCAATTGCTGGAGCTGATATCAAAATGTGGATATTCAGATCATCCATTAGTACAGAAGGTCCCTCAGAGATGATGCAAGCAGGGGCTTCCACCAGCAGGTTAAATTACTTACCTGAATTTCTTTTATCAAAATCCAATGTACTCTGACATTAATCTTCATAAACCAATATGGTAGCAGCCCTTTCCGCAAAACTAACATAAAATCCAACATCAGAACCATTTCCTGTTAAACTAGATCTAGAACAGGGGTGGAACCTGAAGTTCTCCACACAGAGCTGTAGCACAGGTCAGCCGCTAGCTTCTCTTGCTCAGTGTGACCCAGGTATCGTCCTTCGGGGTGGACACCAGCTCATATCTGGCCTCCACCACCTGTCTCTCAGCCTGGTGGAGTCGAAGCCTGCGGACCAAGGTGTTGAGGAGGACCGTGGCCACGGTGTATGCAAATCTGGGGGTAAAGACACATCACACAGTCCTCCATGACTTGGAGTGACTGACGAAGTCCTGCTGGCACATGTCAGATCTACTAAGGGGCCTCTCCTGCCACCCAATGCTGCCAGCAGAACTGGCTTTTCTAAATGGTATTAGCAGGCGGCCAAGACTGCTGAACTGTTAACTTATTAAAACTGTAAGCCATTGGTGTCGTTTTGCCATCAATCTCAGCCATATGTCCTCTAAGTCTGACTAATAGCTAAACCTGCTCATGCATGGTTAGGAGTTTGCAAAAATTTATTAAGGTTAATATAAAGAACAGATCAACCAGCTCTTCAGAATAAGTGCCAGTAAAAGACTGTTGAGTAGAAAAGTGAAGCATTGGAAATAAGACGACTATGTCCGCCAAGGGCAGAAGTCATAGGTTTGGCAACAGTCAATTACTGCCCTTAGTCCCACCCCCCCATTTTTCATGTTTTTTTTTACCTGAGCTCAGGACAGGCCTGGCTCCCGGAGAAGCCCAGCAGGGAAAAGCTCTTCCTCACGCCTTCCTCTTCGAATCTGTCTGGATTAAACCTTAATGGAAAAGGGTGAGAACAAGCTTGACTGCGGTTGTGCGGGGAGTCACTGAAAGAAGCCGTTTTATGGAGCTCTACTTAACCAAAAATGTTCTGAGGGCAGAACGAAAAATGATTGATTATCTCTCTGAACCAATCAGATTATGGAGTTGGTCTAAACAACAAGAGGCGGCAGGCCCAACCAATTAGATGTCTTGGACACACTCCCCTGTATTTGGATTGGTTCAGAGAGGTAAGCAATCTTTTTGTTCTGTCCTCAGAACAATTTTGTGTAAGTAAAACTCTCACAAGCAAAATGATATAAATGTTAAAGTCAATGAAGAAAGTCTGAGCTGCTAAAAATGCTACGTTATACTAAATATAGCATAGTTGTATGGGTTTTGTGCTGACATGGTTAAAGCACATACACTACCTGTAAGGGAGAGCCCAGGTGTCAGCGTCCTGTAGGACCACGCCCAGAGCATAGATCACGAGAGTCTAAATGCAGACCAACACAGAGCATTATAAAGCAACCCCCCCAGAAAGGTGCCCCCTGCACACACACTGCTCTAGAGCTGGAAGGCAAGTAGTACCCCTGGGTCATGGAACTGAAAGCCGATCGCTTCCTTAGTGGGCCATACTGGCTTCACAGGTATTACAGTCGTGGCCAAAAGTTTTGAGAATGACAATGCTGCTTCTGTGTTTGTAGATCGTTTTGTCAGATGTTTCTATGGTATACAGAAGTATAATTACAAGTATTTCATACCTGTCAAAGGCTTTTATTGACAGTTACATTAAGTTTATGCAACGAGTCAATATTTGCAGTGTTGGCCCTTCTTTTTCAAGACCTCTGCAATTTGCCCTGGAATGCTGTCAATCAACTTCTGGGCCAAATCCTGACTGATGGCAGCTTATTCTTGCATAATCAATGCTTGGACTTTGTCAGAATTCAAGGGTTTTTGTTTGTCCACCCGCCTCTTGGGGATTGACCACAAGTTGTCAATGGGATAAAAGTCTGGGGAGTTTCCTGGTCATGAACCCAAAATGTCGATGTTTTGTTCCCTAAGTCACTTAGTTATCACTTTTGCCTTATGGCACGGTGCTCCATCATGCTGGAAAAGGCGGATTGTTCATCACCAAACTGTTCTTGGATGTTTTGGTACCATTCTTTATTCATGGCTGTGCTTTTAGGCAAAATTGTGAGTGAGCCCACTCCCTTGGCTGAGAACCAACCCCACGCATGAATGGTCTCAGGATGCTTTACTGTTGGCATGACACAGGACTGATGGTAGCGCTCACCTTTTCTTCTCCAGACAAATCTTTTTTCCTGATGCCCCAAACAATTGGAAAGGGGATTCATCAGAGAAAATGACTTTACCCCAGTCCTCAGCAGTCCAATCCCTGTACCTTTTGCAGAATATCAGTCTGTCCCTGATGTTTTTCTTGGAGAGAAGTGGCGTCTTTCCTGCCCTTCTTGACACCAGGCCATCCTCCAAAAGGCTTGGCCTCACAATGCGTGCAGATGCACTCACACCTGCCTGCTGCCATTCCTGAGCGAGCTCTACACTGATGGTGCCCCAATCCTGCAGCTGAATCAACTTTAGGAGATGGTCCTGGCGCTTGCTGGGTGCCCTGAAGCCTTCTTCACAACAATTGAACCTCTCTCCTTGAAGTTCTTGATGATCTGATAAATGGTCGATTTAGGTGCAATCTTACTAGCAGCAATATCCTTGCCTCTGAAGCCCTTTTTGTGCAAAGCAATGATGGCTGCACATGTTTCCTTGCAGGTAACCATGGTTAACAGAGGAAGAACAATGATTTCAAGCACCACCCTCTTTTTAAAGCATCCAGTCTGCTATTCTAACTCAATCAGCATGACAGTGTGATCTCCAGCCTTGTCCTCATCAACACTCTCACCTGTGTTAACAAGAGAATCACTGAAATGATGTCAGCAGGTCCTTTTGTGGCAGGGCTGAAATGCAGCGGAAATGGGTTTTTTGGGATTAAGTTCATTTTCATGGCAAGGAGGGACTTTGCAATTAATTGCAATTCATCTGATCACTCTTCATAGCATTCTGCAGTATATGCAGACTGCCATCATAAAAACTGAGGCAGCAGACTTTGTGAAAATTAATATTTGTGTCATTGTCAAAACTTTTGGCCAAGGCTGTACATACAAAGCATATTTTTCCTTTTCCATTTCAAACACGCCACCTAAATAAAGGAGCTTGAAAAGGTAAGGGCATACTGGTCAGGTTCAGTAATCCCACAAGTAGGAAATTAATTAACAGTAATCGCATGCAATTCCCTATATTAGAACACAACCTCTTCTCCACCAAAATAAAAGCGAAGTGACAGCAAAGGTCACAAACTCTTCCTGCTTACTGATAATCTAACCGTAACTATTAGACTGAGGGGTAATATTCTTGTTGGGGTGTCTGAAGGGCATGGACAGGATTAATTATTAGTGTGAGCTAGACTACTACATACACTTTAAGGACTGGAACAAGAATATCTTAATGGTGTGTGTCATTTTAAGAGCATCATATGTAAAAATACAGACATCAACGTGTGTGACTTGCTTAGTGACTGCTGCAATTAATTGAACAATCTCACTATCATTTTTTTATCCCTATGGATGAATCATCACAAAGAAACCACATGTGGAAGGCAGGTCAGTCTTGTAAACTGCACATGACTGATGGGTTAGTAAGATGTGCAGATGTGGAATGTTTAAACACAGAGTGAATAAAGGCTGCCGTCAGGGTTTGGGGTAATACCTCTTTTGGAATGACATGCTGGTCTACTTTCCCCTCCACGTCCTGGAGCCGGGCTGCAACCGGAGTCAGTTTGGCGGTCCGCACGGTCTCGTTCAGAACCTGCCGGCAATACCTGTCATAGCAAAGACAAACATACTTTAGGGGTCTCAATATACAGGGGGATTACACCCTAACCTCAGCAGGGTCACCCCACTGCAGACCATGTTCCAGGTACAACTCAGGACTTACGTGAGCTTAGAAATATTTTCCAAGGAAAGACGTTCCTTCCCAAGGACCTCCTCCAGCTCCCTGTACAGCTTCTCCTGCACTTCCTCTGATGTCGACAGGAAGTGCACTGCCCAAATGCACACTGGGAAGGTATCAAGATACAAAAACCTTAGAATCTGATTGGCCAATACTGTTAAGACACCTACAGCTGATTGGTGCAGAATACAAGTGATACATTACAAAGGCCTGGGCACTCTAAGTACAGGGTGAACTAGACTCTCACAGTTGGCAGTGATGACAGATCCAGCCAAGGTAAAGACCATGCTGTCCTCCATCACCTGCAGAAACAAAATGAAAAATGTCAAAACAAACTGTAATCTAGATTCTGCCCTCAGCCAAATGTGCATGAAATACCAGTGGTCTTCAAGCAGACCGGTCTGTGAGGTGCATGTGTTCCTTTGATAGTTTACCTGCCTCTCCGTAAGGTTGGCCTTCAGCAGAGCATCCACGAATGCCGGCTGACTGAAGTCCTTCCCCTTCCGCTCCTTCACCACAGATTTCAGCACTCCCTCCATCTCTGACAGAGCTGCGGAGCGCACGTCCACACACAGACATGACATCGTCACTTGGGCCATTGGTGTAGTTTGGAATCATGTTGC